GTGGACAGATTCCAAGTCACAACTTAGGGAGAATACACAGCAGTCTACAATGGATAACAGAAGGACAGCTTAGCAATCAGAAATTCAGACTCTGAAGTCATATGAAAAGGGCTTGGATCTCAGTTCTGTACCTACTTGCACGAGGTACCTGACTTTCTCTAGGCCTCACCTTCCTCTTGCAGAAAATAGAGATGAAAATGGTTCACACCTTACACCTAACATGTAGCATCCTCATCAAGGGAGATGACGACTCCAGCAGCCACTGGCGGACTAACTCCACTGGAGCACCAGCAGGCTCCAGAAGAACATGAAGGGAAAGCACAGACACAGCCCCGAGACTTCACAGTACCCATCACTTAACAGGTAACAGAAAATACAGAGGCCGAGCTAGCTTGCCTTCCTGTAGCTTCTAGATAGAACATAGGTATCCCAAGTTGGTGTCTTTTACGAAGGCCACCAAGCATCTCTCCCTCTCTAGCTAAGCTTTGGCTTGGATAGTATCTGAGGCAGAGCCCACAGGATGAAGATCATCGAGTGAGCAGAGAAGGAGAGCCGGGGGACCTTTAGAGACTTGGCCAAGGCCCCACAGCTCACGATGGCCGCGTGGAAACTGGAGCGCAGGCACCCCGCTTCGGTCTCCTTTCACCACTTCCTCTTCTCCTCAAGATGCCCCTGGGTCTTGACAATACTGTTTTCATTAACATTTGGCTTACTGGCATTTGAGATGTTACGATGTCATGGGATATACAATGAATAAGGAGTTCAAAGGCCTTAATTCTAGCCTCGGTTCTGCCAGGTACTAATTGTGTTGACTCCGACGACTCAGCTCTCTTATCTGAGTCTGAAAGTTCACATCTATTTAATGGGAAGAACGACAATTGAACTTCCCATCTTTCTGGGGTGGTTACAAGATTTAATGAGATACGCCTGAAAGCACCCAGTAAACTGCACTATGCTACGCAAACCCCAAATTCCCCTGTGCCTTCTGTCACATCCTTCATCCTGTGATTTGAGTGGCTCAGGGTCCCTGTCTCAAACCTCTGCCTCCATTCCTCAAGAGTCTATGTTTCAGTAATAAATAACCCTTTAAGCCTGGCCCTTGACTAATAGTTCAATATGGGAAGAAAAAAATAGAAGTCTTAGTACAGTTATACCAATGTTTGAGAAAATAGGGTTACCTAACAGAGCATTATGTCAAGCACTTTCCAGCACTATTTTTTTGCAATGACCTCAAATGTCCGAGCGCCATGTGAAAGTGAGCTGAGAGAGACATTTTACTATCTGTTACCCACTCTGGGGGTCTGAGTCGTCAGGCACAGTCACTCCCCCCCACCCCAAATTTCCAGGTGAAAACTGAATTGCCTTAGAGAGTGCTGGAAACTATAGAGAGTGCCGGAAACTATAATCAGGAAGATGTATAGCTTGATCTGCCTCTATTTTTTCCTGTTGCAGTGGAAAAGAAAAGTTTTAGATAGACCCAAGTTTAAGACCATGGCTTTGCAATTCACTGTCTGTGTGGCTTCGGGCAAATAATTTATCTCTAAACACTGTTACTGGTTTTGTCTGAAGACACAATGAGGTCAGTAATGTCAGCCTAGTGGGTAAGATTTAGGGTTATTGATTATAGTATTTATTTTAGTTTGTATCATTCAGTTTTATGAGGCAGAGACCACACACATAACCCAAAACGAAGAGTTTCTATTATAAAGACGTGTGAGGTAACAGAAAACCTGGCAATCGGAGAGCAGGAGGCACGCCAGTTGGGCCTCAGCATGAGCAGAGACTGGCCCCTCCCAATCCGGGTGACAGCAGTGCGGTCTGTGAGGCCTGACCCTGGTGAGGGCTGCTGGTTGACTCTACTGCTCCTCATCGATTTTCTTGTAATTCCCCCACCTGCTGGCTTTTTCTCTTACGCTTCCTCTTCCAAAACATAGGCCAACTAGTCTCTTAAGGTCAGTTCTATCTTACGACATCCTCTCTGATGCTAAGTTGTTCACTTGCTACGTGTTTCCCAGTTTGTAGTTTGTGAGCACACACCCAGTTCTTGGACCAGCTCCTTTATTTCATGCTAGGGGATGGGTTAAATTACGAATGGCTGCCCCTCCAACATTTGGCCCACCACCCATGTGGCCAGCTGTCAGAGATAAGACGTTCTACACGTGGCACCTTGGGCGCGCCTCTACAGCAAGGACGGTGGGTAAAGTTCCCATAAGGAAGTCCATGTTGTGTGGAATGGCTCGGGTTCTAGAATTTGCTTGAACTCTAATCCTGACTATGACAGTTTCTAAAGATGGGACCTTAAGCAAGTTACTCAATCTTGCTGAGTCTCAAGCTCTGCATCTGAAAACAGGTATAATAGTCCATACCTCAGAGCAGTATTGTTGACTTTTAAATAACACAAGTAAAGCACTTAGCACAGCTCCTGCCATGCACTGCACTGCACTGCACTGCACTGCACTCTCATTAAGCGCCCGCTATACCTGTATGAGGAGGAGCTGTGTGGGCAGGCACCGAGAAGCAGGTCGGGCATGACCCCTACGGGCTCTCTGTTAATGGCACTTCGCCTCTCCTTTGTGCTGAGATGAACAACACTGACTTGATCCCTGCCCCCAGGACACAGCCGCTTCACACTTTTTCCCTGAAGATGGATGGCATTCTCTGTGACCCTGATGCAGTCACTGCGTACCTCACTGAGGAAATGGGATGCTACAGGACTTTTTAAAGTCCGTCTTAGTCCTTCTCGCCGGAATTGGGCAGCTGGCCCTCCCCAGTGTACCACCACCGTGCCCACTTCACAGAGCCCAGTAGAACAGCGTGATGACCGTCTCGGATGTGCCTCCCCAGGGACTGGCATGTTTACAGAACTGTCAAGTAATGTCTTCTGGCATTTCTCCATCAGGGTCTTGGGAGATCACAGGTTTACACACAGAAAACACAGTGAGCTGAGATGGAGAATTTGATTTGGGACATAGAAATTCCTCTTGTCGATATTCCTTTATTTATTTGGTTGTGTTGGCAAATGGGCTACTTCACAGACGTGAAGCTTATGAAGGGACAGCTGAAGTTTCCCCACTTCAGCTCTGAAGCTGTTTGTAACTCTTGTGTAATGGAGTCTTCCTAAAATGTATTACATACTTCTGCCTTTTTAAGAGAGGTTGCAGATTTAAAGGTTCACGTTTATTGAGCACTTACTATGTATGTGGCACCACACTGAAGTGCTTACGTCTCATTAATGTCCCCGAAACCCTGTGAGATAGGTACTATCATAATCCCCATTTTACAGATGAGGAAGCTGAGGCTTGAAGAGGCCAGGTGACTGCCCCAACGTTACCCAGGTAGAAGTGACAGAACTGGGACTTGTGCCCACGACTGCCCAAGCTCGTTAGAAACTGGCCATGATTGGAGAACACTTGATTAATACATGACCCTAATGACTATTAACTTTCAAAGTTGGGCCTTTGGCAGCCTACACTCACATTTTAGAAATGTGTCCATTTTTCTGAGTATCCCTTAGCCGCATTTGAAAAGGAGTTAGTATGCAAATTGGCAGCACAGAAGCCCAGATTTTTGAATATTCAGGTATATTCCTTCATTCATCAGATGTTACTCGACTCCCTACCATGTTACTGTGCCAGGCACTCCGGAGGTAAAGAAACAGGCCTGCAGCCGCCTCCAAGGAGGGCACACGTCAGGGCTGCTGCAGTGGGACAGTATATGAAACCCACCTGACTTGTGGGCAGGAAAGCCTCGAGAAGGTGGTGATTCTTGAACACACCGTTCAAGGAGGCTGTCCTCCTCGTTGACACCCATGCTGTATGGATGAAACCGATGAGTTGAGAGCAGGTGGAGTTGGATGCCTCCCTGGCTCCAAAGAGGCCAAGAAAGAAATGGGGAAGGCATATATAAGAAATAATTCAAGTTGTCTTGCTTGGAAAAGACACTGTGGTCAGATGTTAATGGGCTCTGGGCTAGACCAAGGAGCTTGGTTTCTATAACCTGAGTCTTTCTTAGATGGTGGTTTATAAAAACAGGAAGTCTATTAGAACCACATCTGGTGGAAGAAAAATACATGTTTAGTGGGATGTGCTTTCTCATTTGATAAGTAAATGGGTGTTAAATGCAATTCCCAATTGTAGTTCTTAAATATATATATATATATATATTTTAAAGCATTGGTAGCATCATTAGAATCAAGTATATGGGTTTCCAGGTGATGCGTTTGACATATTTTAATGACAGTGTTCTTATTCTAAAAGAAGCATGTTAATAGAATATACCAACTTCTCTAATCTAGAGATATCTAACAATTTTGAAACAAGCCTCCCCCCGTACACCCATATCCGTGGTCCATGCCTGTGATCTCTCTTCTTCGTGTCACGCCCCTCCAGCTGGACATAATGTCATCTCTTGATGCCTCGTAGTCACCATTATGGATGCTGTTTATGGCACAGTGCTGTAAGCTTGTGTGATGGCTGAGGTGGGACAGTTGTTTAGAGACCTTTTAAATTAGGCCTTTTTTCTTTTTCTCTCTTTCTCGTAGGTTGGCTCATGGTCATTGCGTCTGGCTGCTTTCCATATGTCTTCTCACAACTTCTTCCTAGTGCATTTTCTGCCCGCAACGATAAGTGCTAGAATGGCTAATGGCCAGGCTAGTCAATACGTGTTTTAAAGCAAGAGTAAGCAAGCTCCAAGAGAGGGCAAAGGGGCTGTTTTCTGAATTAGAGCATAAACTCTGCAACAGCTATTTTAACTGCCAGGAAAGCGTTACCTGTCTGTAAGAGATAATGGAGTTTTGCTTTATTGGTGACAGTGAGCTAAGCAATGTTACTATTAGGCAAACTTTTCCAGACAGAAAAAAAAAGAAAGGAAGAAAGAAGAAAGGAATGGGGAGGTGGGACAGGAGGAGAGGGGGGTAGGGAAAGAAAGAGAAAAAAGCCAGACCAGTGCTGGCTTTGGGTTCTCATTTTGAATTTCTCTCTTTTCCCATTTGCTGATCACAGTGGTTTAAACTTCATTGACCTGATGGTGCGACAAGGGAACATCGACAACCCTCCTAAGACTCCCCTGGTGCCAGGTTTTGAGTGTTCGGGGATTATTGAAGCTCTGGGGGACAGCGTGAAAGGATATGAGGTAATGTTTTGACTTTTGACTGAAAGAGTAATATCAATCTGAAATCCATTGAGATAATAAAAGATTATGCAAAATTGCTTGACGTAATCTATAATGTGTATTGTTATTGCTATCTTATTGTTTTATTTTTTTAACAGTGTTGGACTTTCCAAATGCTGCATGTAGTTCTCATGTACCATCTTGGTGCTCCTGGCAACAGTCTGGTGGCCAGGGGAAATCTTGCCATCCCCTTTGTTCGTGTTATACAGCTGTTAAATAGGAGTACTTGGCCTTGGATTAATGAAGTGTGCATACCTACTCTTCCCCCCCATGCTTCCCGCTTTCCCATCACCTGTGGCTCAAAAAACAATTACAAAATGTAAAAGTTGGGGAGAAATAGCCTCTGTATTTTTATGTCGATTCCTTTAAATATCTACTTAACTGATACATTTAAGTGATCGTTTACAAGTGGCATTTTGGGGTGAAGTTTGAAAGCTACAGGGTAGAGGTATCTGACAGTAGGACAGAACTGGTCATGAATTGATGGATTTGGGGGTAGGATAATGGACAAAGAGGGTTATTATATCACTCTGACTACTTTTGTACATGTTTGAAATTCCCCATAATAAAAAAAAATTAAACAGTGGAAAGATATAGACCTTTTCTACCATTATAATGCAAATAAAATAGAAACCAGTCTATAAAAGCTGAAAAATTGTGAGCAAACCAATCACACAAAATTGCAGTAGTTCGGAGTCAGAAAACCAATAGAAATTAGGTACAAGAGCTCTTGCTTACTACTAAGTGCTTCCCCAGGGAGACATGAGTGGATCTAACATTGAGAACCCGCTATAACCAGAAACAAGGGCAAGTTTTCTTTTTTCAGCCTCACTAAAACCCCGCGAAATTACGTTTGTTACTGTCTCCTTAGAGTTGAGGTTCAGAATGGTTCAGTAATTGTCTGTGAGGTCCAAAAAGGAGCAAGTAGTGGTGGAACCTGGATTCGAGTCACCAGGGCCTTCTCACCATTCCATGAGCTTTGCCCTCGCTCCCAACCTGCAGATGCTGCCATACTAACTGCAGGAAGAAAAATCCTATGCAATGCGATGCTAAAACACCCTTGGGACTTGAATTTCAGTCTGCTGCTCAGTCTCTGTGCATCTGAGCCCCAGTACATTCTGAAAATATCAATATGCTCCCAATTCATGATGATGAATGTCTGGAAATCGCTTCTTACCCATCAGTCTTTTTGTCACTGTTTTCAGATAATGGGGCAGGAAAATGTTGAGCAAGAAGTAAATGTGCTTTTTTTTTCTTTTGTATGACTTTTTACATGTTCTGCCCCCAGGTAGCAATAGAACCCGAGGCAGCACCACCTCTCCCTGGAAGTGCTGCATAGAGGAGACACTGCCTGCTCTTCACTCCCTCATATGGTCCCAAGGGAAATGATCGTACTACTAACTCTGTTAATTCTGAACACTGGATACACGACCCTTTATCTTAGGACATAACAGTAGATGGGGATGTCGCTGTCTTTAGTTTAGAGGGAGGACATGCTCTGCTGGATTATATATTTTCCCCTCATATATGACCTTTCTTCTGCTAGTTAGCTCTGGCCTCCAGATTGTCAGCCTAGTCTCTACCCCCACTTCCCTGCAGCGACTTTCAGCTGCACAAATGAAAGACACAGGTTTCCAGTCAGGGTGTGATTTGGGAGAAAACCATTACTAAAATTCCCTCCATAATTTTGACTTAACATTTTCACTTATGTTAGAGATGGAATTCCACATGGCAGCACACTGGACAGGTCTCCTGGTTGATGGATTGTTAGAGGCTTGAAAAGTTGTTGCTGGAGGCCCAGCAGTAAAGGAACAATTTGGTCTTAGTTGCCCAGGTTTTTTTTTTCCTTAACAAAATAAAAAAACGAGTGAACTTGATGTTTTTGAAGTTGCCTACCCCTGGGCTCTGAGTCCGGGGCTGATCTGATGGTGCAGCCACTTCTGCCACTTTGACTATGAGATGGGAGAGGGGGACAGGCAGCCCTGCGGTGATGGCTGGGACCCTCACCATCTGGGCGGCTGAGACAGTCTTTGCCACACCCCGTGTTGACACTGGAGACCACCCGCTACTCTGGGGTACTGAGTCTGTACCTTTGGGTTTCCATGATTCTGTGCAGAAGAGGCTGCCAGTGTTAGTCCACAGTGATTCTCTGGTCCAAGCCATTGCATTTAAGATGGTACTGCTGACACTTATCATTTGGCATTCAACACTTCCAGGGGCTTACACCTTCATTGTCAATGGGACGGCTCCTCCATTTCATCAGCTGCTTCATTAGACAGCTGTTCTCTGCTTCATAAAGCATAATGGGTCTATATTTAGCTTTTGAACACTAAACTGTGAATTCCATGAGATCAGGAACCAATCTGTTCTTTCTAAGAGCTTATATTGATTGCTCTTTTCTCATTTTACATATATACTGCCAAGTGCACTGCATGCACTTCATAAGGACCTTTTCCTAATGTTATACCCATTTTAGAGCTGATAAAACTGAGGCTTAGAGTTAAACATTCTTAGACTTGGAAGGTTCACCTGTTGTGCACCCTTATATAACTTTTTCTTCTTTGTAGTACTTATCTCAGGTATAATGAATTATTTTATCTGGAGTCAGATTGCCTAGATTCAAGTCCTGGTCCACATGCTCTCTAGCTCCAGGACTTTGGGCCTGTGCTTTAATCTCTTTGCATCAATTTAAATGTTTTTGTGTAATCTACAATCATTCATCCGTAATAGGGGATTCTTACAGAACCCACCTCATAAGAGGATTTTGTTGTTTGTTGAGTAGGGTAGAAGAGAAATGCTAAGCTACAAAGGAATTAAAACAGAATCAATATGAACATAAAAGTATACATATATACTAAAACATTCATATATGAAAGCCATTAATTTATGGAGAATTTATTATAACTATGCAGTTTGAATGTTGCATTTGAAAGTCATAGTACAAGCCACTAACATGAATAGCAGCATGACTCAATTTAACTGGCACTTTGCAGCTCCTACAAGCTATCGGTATTAGTTCACTTATTTGTATTTCCCTTCAGTAATGACATGCTATGAAAAAAGGTAGCATACCATCATAACCACTTTAAAGGGAGGACTGCTCTTATTTTTTTGCATGGTGTCTGGCTATGTAAACTACTGATAAATAAAACACAATATTCTGCCATGCTTTTATAGGGAATTTGTACAGAAGCCATGAATTAAAACATGCAATGTTCTTAGCACAATGCCGGCCATATAATGTATGCCCGGTAAATGGTAGTTGTTCTCGCCCCCGCTGGCATATTCCTATTTGGCACTAAGCCTGGTTATTCTTTTTGTCTCCTGCACTTAGATCTGCATGGCTATTTTAATGCGCCATGTTCACATCCACAGTGATATCTTCATTGCGAATACCACAGTGAACTAGCATGTCAGGGCATCCAAGAGGGGTGGCAGAGAATAAGCAACAGTCGATTTGACTCCCGGCCTCGCCCCACTAACTTTCCTAATGGCTCAGTCTTTCTCAGCTCCAAAACAGAGAGATTAGATGAGAGCGTGAGTCAGGACAATGACCTCCTGACAGTGGCACTCCATGGTGTGTGACGTGCTCCACGTCATATATTCATGTGCGAGACAAGGAGTACAGAATCTGGTTTCCACGGCCCCTGGGATTTTTTTTATAGATGGGCTTCAGAGCATCCAAAAATGCCTTGAAATTGAGAGGCAGGTGAGGGTGTGCATATTTGAGGGTTCTTTTTTTCTGGGAAGGAATCTATATTTTTCATCAGATTATTGAGTATTTGAGAAATCCCTCAAAAAGGTTCAGAAAGCTCCACTAACCCTGTGCCTCCCTATGCCCAGATCGGGGACCGTGTCATGGCATTTGTCAATTACAATGCCTGGGCAGAGGTGGTCTGTACGCCAGTGGAGTTTGTCTACAAGATCCCCGATGACATGAGCTTCTCTGAGGCTGCTGCATTCCCCATGAACTTCGTCACAGCCTACATGATGCTCTTTGAAGTGGCCAACCTTCGAGAAGGGATGTCTGTTCTCGTGCACTCAGCTGGTGGTGGCGTGGTAAGTTGGCTGTTTGTGTGTCCTGGTCCTCAAGGTCATGATGGTGAAAGTGAAATCACACCCAAGTGGCAATGAAATTTCTCTGTGAGCTATTTCCATTAGTAGGGATGCTCTCTATAATTCCAGTGAAGCTCACATGGATGGGGGAGGTTGTATAAATGACTGCACTGCAAATAGGGCGAGCCTCGTGGCATGTGAGGACTCAGTGGGTCTCGGAGATGGTTTCTGTAAGACGCACTCTCAGTCTTGGTATTACAATGAGCTGCTTCTGTCAATCATTGTGAGATGCCTCACAGTCCTGTTCTACTACTATTTGAAATGCCAAAAATGTGGATGATGATTTACTTTTTCAATAAATTGCCAAGAATTTGAGATTGTTCCCATATTAACAACATTCTTATTCATTTGTGTTCTGATGTATTTTCTTGAGTGGGAGAGAAGGAGACTATGATTGCACTAGCATAATGGGAAGGTCACATGCATGTAATGGGAAAGCCACCCCATGAGGGTAGCTGCACGTGTGAATGTCATCTGTCAGGTGTGTATTTGACAAGGGGGGAAGCACTGGAACTAAAAACTGCTGCTCTGGAATTCAGGGATGGCAGAAAATTCTTCCAGGGTTTGGATGGGTCTCTGTGACAGTCACTCAGTACATACTGCACACCTGCCACATGGTAGGCACTATGTTCCTGTCATGGCCTACTGTGGGTGGAATAGAACACCAGTCTTTCTGAGAGTGAGAGGACCTACTCATCAACCCAACAATTATTTATTGAACACATACTATGTTCCGGACTCCACGGGTTAAAGATTAATAAGAGAAGGTCCTGATGTACCATCTAATAGGGTTTGAGAGGTTCTCAGTGTTGGTGATCCTGTGGCTGGATGACTCAGAGACTGACTCCTGTGCCTGGGTCTACCTTGAAGATATCTTCTCTGGAGGTCACGCTAACATTGATTTTCTTAAAATATTGGCTTTTTACAATTATCAAAACCCTGCATAGTATATAGCACATTGCTGTTTTTCCCTTTCTGAGAAGACAAGGTCACATACAAAAAAAACAGGAAGGCAAAGAGATAAAACTTTAGGAATGTCTTAAGAGGAATATCTTCAATCACTTTAGCAAATTTGCTAATGTCTTTTGACCATGAGTAAAGATATAATAAAAGCTAAACATCCCTTGGAAAGGAAATAGATTTTAGTGCCAGTTAATGTGGTAACAGCCAGCAAGCCATTTAGAATTCTGACGTTTATGATCTTCGTGTGCTCAGCATACAAAGCATTAGAGACTTGTTTTCGTGCTATGAACATGAGCGCCAGTCTTTACAATGGTGCTGAAGCCAATTCTGCTGAGAACTGGATGTTTGAACACTGGCACTGATGATGCTTCATGTTTTTTATTTTTCATTTGAGTTTGTTTCTGGAACAAAGAGGAATGTGTCAGGAGAATGTATCTCCCAAAAACAAAAAATCTCTGGAGGTAAAAGTTTTTACAGTGCCTTTTTCTGGGCTTACATACACTACAGCAGTAAGAACTGAAATGTGAAACAGACGAAGGAACTGGGGAAAGGGGACAATGCAGGTAGGAAAATAAACTGGCACACACGGTGCAGGCCATGGTGTCCTAGAGCTTTGTTCAAGACGGACAGGAGCCTGGGTACTTAGCTTCCTAATACTGTGCACGAACAGAGAAACACGGCCAGCTGTGTGAGTTTGTGTTCACTCGATGGAAATAAACCAGTTATTACAGAGAATTTTAACCAGTACCAGGTTTTGAGACCTGGGGAATACTTCTCAGTGATTCCTCATAAGAAATGTGTGCTGAAGTGTAGTGAACATCCTCACAAAACTGTTACAGTAAATGCCATGACTTCCTTGATGCTTTTTCTTTAGGTCTACCTCTAGGATTGTCTAATAGCACCAAAGTGAAGGAAATACAGTGAAAGCAAATATCCTGGTGCCAAAAGGAAGTAGTCTGGTTTAAACTGTGGCCAGTTTAAAGGTGTGGTTGTACGGCCCATCTCTCAGGTGAGGGGGTCTCCTTGAATAGTGTCTCTCCCACCCAGGATGCGATAGGTGGTATGAAGCACTGAGTTCAAAGTTATCATTAGAGGAAAGACTTCTGGCCAAGTGCACATCTGTGTGTATGAACACTTAAGTAAGCTATGGTGGAGTTGACCCTGTCTTACAAAATCTAAGAACACCTAAAGAGAACCCAGACCATTCCACCACCCCACAGTGGAAAGGCCAGTGAGTCACCCCCAGGCAGAATTAGACTCCTTCCAAGAAGACAACCAGTCACTGCTGTGGTGGTGGCGGGTGCTCCCTGGGAGCACTTGAAATGTATTATCTGTGTTACCCTGGTGAGGAACGAAGATGCTTCCTATCCCTGTTGGACAAATTGTTAAGTGCAGCTGCTGGCTGTGTGGTCAGTGCAGCAGGCAGGATAATAAGCCCCTTCCCCTTACCGACATCATGTCCTAATCCCCGGCACCTATGAGCAGGATATTTACACAGCAAAGGAATTTGCAGACTAAGGTGAGGACCTTGAGATGGAGAGATCATTTTGGATTATCCAGATGAGCCCAGCGTAATCACGAAGGTCCTTAGAGACGGAAGTGGGGGGAGGGTCAGAAAGAGGTTTAAAGACTACACTGCTGGCTTTGAAGGCAGAAGCAGCACCAGGAGCCAAGGAATGCGGGGAACTTTAGATGCTGAAAGAGATAAGGAAATGGATTCTCCCCCAGGAGCTTCCAGAAGGAACACAGCCCTGCTAACACTTGATTTTTAGCCTAGTGAGACCCATTTTGTACCTCTGATCTCTAGAACTGTAATATAATAAATCTGTGTGTGTGAGGGAGGTTAATTTTTGAGACACTCAGCTTGTGGTAACTTGTTACAGCAGCAATAGGAAACGAATACAGACATTTCCCTGGGCTGCCTTCCCTTCCACTGTGGAGAGCCCACAGAGGCCTGAAGAAAAGCATGTAGCAAGTAGCAGAACTAGGATCCATACCCTCATCTGGCTGGTTCCCAAGACTTCTCTTTCTATTTCACAACCTAGAATGTTGGCAGAACCCAAGTCATTCATTCCTTCATTTATTCATGTGTTTAACAAATACAGTTCTCCTTCTACCTGGTGCTAACTATAGACATTTTATTTTATTTTATTTTATTTTCTAGTGTAATGAGGATTATCTTTTGTAATTGAATTTATTGGGGTTACATTGGTTAATACAATTACATAGGTTTCAGAGGTACAGTTCTACAACACATTATCTGTACATTGTGTTGTGTGTTCACTATCTAAAGTCAACCTCCTTCTGTCATCACTTGTCCCCTGTTTATCCCCTTCTACCCGCCCCCACCTCCCTTTCCCCCTGGGAACCACCACACTGTTGTCTGTCTATGAGTTGGGTTTTTTTGGCTAAATACCTTCACCTATGTCACCCAGCCCCCCATGCCCCTCCCCTCTGACAGCTGTCAGTCTGTCCTCTGTATTTATGGGTCTATTTCTATTTTGTTTATTTTTTATTGGATTCCACATATAAGTGAAGTCATTCGGTATTTGTCTTCCTCTGACTGGCTTATTTCACTTAACATAATACCCTCCAGGTCCATCCATGCTGCTACGAAAGGTAAGACTTCCTTCTTTTTTATGGCCAAGTAGTATTCTATTGTGTAAATGTACCCCAGCTTTTTTATCCACTCATGTACTGATGGGCATTTGGGCTGCTTCTAAACCTTGGCTCTTGTAAATAACGCTGCAGTGAACACAGGGGTGAATACATTCTTAGTGTTCAGGTTTCTTTGGATATAGCTGCAGAAGTGGAACTGCTGGGTCATAAGGCAGTTCCATTTTTAGTTTTTTGAGGTATCACTACACTGTTTTCCACAGTGACTGCACCAGTCTGAGTTCCCACCAATAATGCAACAGTGCCTCTTCTCCACATCCTTGCCAGTACTTCTTGCTTGTTGATTAATTGATGACAGCCATTCTGACAGGTGTGAGATGGTATCTCATTGTGGTTTTAGTTTGCATCTCTCTGATGATTAGTGACATTGAGCACCTTTTCATATGTCTATTGGCCATCTGCATGTCCTCTTTGGAAAAGTGTTTATTCAGGTCCTTTGCCAAATTTTAATTGGATTGTTTATTTTCTTGGTGTTGAGTTCTTTGTAAATTTTTTATATTAACCCCTTATCAGATATATCATTGGCGAACATGTTTTTCCATCCACTGTGTTGTCTTTCTGTTTTGCTATACAAATGGGCTGCCAATCCCATTTTGATAGTTCCTTTGCTGTATAAAAACTTTTTAGTTTGATGTAGTTCCATTTATTTATTTTTTCTTTTGTTTCCCTTGATTGAGGGGATATGTCAGAAAAAATATTGATAGGAGGAATGTCCGAGTAACTACAGACATTTTAGAGAACTAGACGACCTTGGCCTGGTGCACGTTTTCTAACTGGATGTTGAAGAGGTGGCAGGAAGACTAAACCTAGTTAGAATGAAGTTTTCTAAATTGAGTTAAACATATGTGTGCAGTTTTAATGGCACCAAGACTTCTGTCTCATTTATATCGAAGTCTGGGATAGGGAATTTGCAAACAGAATATGACAAATACCAGACTTAAACTGTAATTTCAAGGGAACCTTTAATATAGGATAGGAAAATAATCTGATCCAGAGCGAGTTGCTTTCTCAGTGTCTACACGTCTTTGCACGGCACTGTTTTCCTCTGACAACAGCACAACCAGACAGCCTGAGAGGGTAATGCCCCTAATCGAATCTTCTGAACCCCACTGAAAAATGGGCTTACAACCTCTTAAAGGAAAGATAACAAAATAAGCAACCAAGTGGGGCTCATGTTAGGAATTTCAAGATGAGAGTTTGGCTGCCAATCCCATTTTATAAACTAGTGTGGCTTTGGGCATCTTGTTTGGGGGTGTGCTTGATTTGTGGAGAATAACATTACTGTTACTATGTGGTTATTTGCA